CGACGGACCGGTACAGCGCCCGCTTTACAGCAGACGCTGCGCCCATCCGCCTGTCGATCTCACGCTCCCTTCTTCCCCCATTCGTCAAAAACAACAATAAAGACCAAAAAAAATAACGGCTAAAGCTAAGTACAACTTAACATCACTGCTTCCATGGTAACAGATGCAGCCCAAACTTTTCCCATTCTGGGTGTCATCAACTCTCTGTGATCCATAAGTGAGTTTAAATGTGGAAAATGTTTAATTTTCATCAAACTTTTGCTTTTCCTGTCTCTCTTTCTGATTTGGGTCCAATTAGTTTGTTTCTTTTTGTGTCGGTTTGACTATAAAGAAGCGTGTAAACACCAACAATAGTTATTTTATTATCGCTGTCCTGCACGTCCCGGTTGACGCGTCGTGTTGTCGTTCTTGTCCAGGCAGAGGGGAAAAGCCGGATGAATGATTTGCAGAGTGTGTTTCTAAGTTATTCCAGCTCCCTGCAGCTCAGCAGTGGCTGACCCCCTCTCCCCTTCTGTCTGCTAAGGGGCCTACAGGGAGGAATCAGACCAAATTACCTTTATTGATCCAGAGAGACAGGTGAATACCAAGCAGGCCTCTTTCCCTTCACTCATCTTATCTCTCATTCAATGTTTTTTTTTATCTTTCCATTTCTCCACCTGCCTGCAAACAGGGGAGAATCTAAACCGAAATAAGGCTGTTTTATGTGAGAGCGACCGCCACACATCACTGTAACCACCTCYGCGGTGATTTACTGTTTGCATTTCGGTCGCTGCGATTAAACCGACCGCCTTGTTGCTCGTCGTTCACCGTCAGCGGCGGAGGGGGAACGGCAGCAGCGAGTGGCTGTTCTGTTTTTCTGCCTCCCATCCGCAGATGCCCTTTTGCCCCGGCATACAAATCACTCCGGCTGTGGAAAAGATACTCCATTAGGTCCAACTCTGAGTTAAATCAATGCGTGACTTATCAAATGAAATAGGGGATTATGAGGTAATCACCTGACAAACGTTGCTGAAATTGTAATTATCTCCATCTCAGGGAGAGAAGACCAAACTAACTATTTAAGTGGAGGCTAAGATAGCGAGGTGTGGAAAAGCACCGCGTCTGTATCTGCTGGACGAGAGGGTGGGACACAATGTTTATGTGCTGGGGTGGGGGGCTCTCCCTCTGCAGAGAAATGACTGGGATCACTCCACGAATGTATGCTTCATGTCCTTCGTTTTACTACGACCACCGTGTTTCTTTCTGTCTCCGCTGCCAACACACACCTGAGGGGTTAAGTGTCGCATTTGAAAAGAAATATTTATTCAAATGTTTAAGCCTTTATTTATAAAAGACTCCAAACTTTTTTTTTATCTACAGAAGCAAAACTAAATTGATCTTATTTATTT